TGTTAAAACAATTATATTCAAGTCAAATGCCATAGGTTTTAATGCAATCGTAAATTACGTAAAGTTTTTTGATATGCTCCTGATATTAAAATTTAGTATTTTAAATGTATAATCATTAGTTATTATTGAAGCACATTGTTCGAGTTGGCTAATGTCGTGACATGTTGTATTTATTGTATCTAGATTATCTTGTAAATTATCTAGCATTTACTTAAGTTCACTTAATTATAAATATAAAAAAGAAATAAATAGGTATATAAAAGTAGATTATTAATGTCATGACAAAATGTTTAGTGAAACTAAGAATTTTAAAATGTTCAAAAAAAATTTTGAAGTTTTGCGTGTACATGAAATTAAATAAACATAACTTATTATCAAAATATACGGCCAAAATAGGAGCATATATTTATGTAAGTATGTATATTGACAGGAAACAATCACTTTGATATAATTAAGATCACTATTGTGGTAGTATTTATGCCGAAAAAAAAAATATATATACATATATATATATATATATATATATATATATATATATATATATATATATATATATATATATATATATATATATATATATATATATATGGATAAATAACTAATAACTATATAAAAATAATCCATCAGGTGGACTGTGTGCTAGTTTGTCACCCTATCCTTTAAAAAAACATCTGACCATGAATTACTTATATGAATTACCTATTAGACTACTACCGAATTACCTATATAGTATGACGCATCTTGCAGCGCCTATAAATACAAATTAGCACCGAAACATCCAGAATATTCAAGTAAACACGCGCAATTGGCCGAGAGTTCGATTGTCGACTTCTAGAAGCTTAGTTCTTCGTTCCGAGACTAGATGGCTGTCGGTTGAAAGATTAATGATGTCATTTTCTGGAAAGCTCCCCTCGCTTTCGTCCCTGACACTAGATGGCGCTAGTGCTGGATACATGACGTCGACTTATTCGCGCAACAATACGGTTGTAAAAATTTTAATATTTTACATGGATGTGTTATTTTACAAAAACACTTGACGGCTCGGTAGCTCGGTAGCAAGTGTCTGGCAGTGGGCCGCAGGTTCAAATCACACCTGTAAAAAAATTAATATATGGCCTAAGAATAATTGTGACGGATTTAAATGTTCGTTAATATGTATGTGAAACAAATTATGTATGTGAAACATCTCCACAACAAAGGGAAATAAAAGTTCAAAATCCTAACTAGCCTATGGAAAGTCTGTAGCTGAAAATCCCCATAGTTTGTATTAATTTCTCATAATAATGCAACGAATATGGAACGGCAAAAAATATGTAATATAATAGAGTTCTGGTTGTATTTTTGGATATTTTTTTGGTTTTGGTTGCTTAAATATGGGAAAACGATAAAAAACCATGGAGTTTGGACATTACATTGTAATTTTTTGTGTTCTAACCATTTGTAGTAGAATTTCTAGAATATCAGAATATATATAATACAATATAGAAGTCTAAAATGTATGGAAACTGGCTCTCTCTACATATAGACTTTGCGATGTTCTATCAAGACACAAAATAATGTTACACCGACTAACTAGATTTTAGTAGTAAAGAAAGATAGCATTTTCTTCAGTGTTGCCAACTTAGTGGATTTTCTACTAAAACTGTTAGCTTCGACCTTTTAATGAAGAAATTAATGCTTACAGTGTCTGGTGGTTTGTTCTAGCGGTTCATTAGAACTCAGTTTCATTAATATTAACAATAAGTTGAAAGACGATCACTCAACCATTAAGTCGCTTATACGTCTTGAAATATATTTCTAGTTCATTTCAGAAGTATTTATTTTTACTGTGAAGGCAATACTGATTAGTTAGACATAACGTGACGTCAGTCAATCCATTCTGGTACCTACATTATATTATAGTTAAAACGATGTGTTCAAATCTTTATCTGTCTTCCATAATGATCTTTCAAAAATATAGAATAATAGACTATTAATTTTTTTTAATTTCATATATTTCATTATTGTTGTTTTGAAGCTTTTGTTTACCATAAAATATCTTGAAAAAATATTTCAAATGTTTAAATCACAAAATCTTGTTGATAAATAATTAATCATAATCAGAAAGCGTAATTAATCACAATGAACAGTGGTGTATTTGTGAGATGCATGTGCTACACGCACGCACACACTCTCACAATATTAATATTGTGCTGCAATGCCACCAAACGGCTCTTAGGTTAACAGATCTCACCCAAGTGGGTTTTCTTTTCCTTTATAGGACAGTTACTGTACTCTTAAATGCTATAACTTTACTTGTTGCATTTAAGATTATTATCCGATATTTGTTGTCAAGAACTCAGTTCAAATTTTGATTTTTTAAAAATTTTATATATTTTAATAACACCTACATCTCCCTCTAAATTATATTTTAATTTGACTATTATTGATTCTAGAATTAGGTTTGAAAATTAATCTTTTGTTAAGTATATTCAAAACGTACATTATACTAATAAAAATAACTAGTAATTAATTATACAAATATATAAGATAGAATGATATAACATTATTCATAAAAAAAAATCCATAAAACCATTCGAAATCTTGGCTTTTTAGTCACGTGTCCTATCACTTGAATTTAGCGAAATATAAGGCCCGGTGTGCCAACTATAGCAAAGCCTCTTTGAGTGGAGAAAAGTTCTTCAGCGATAGGTATGTAGGTAAGATGAGAACATAATGAAATATGGAATGGTATATGAAGTCAAAATTTTTGATATAGATTATATACTAGGTTTGTGGACAACGGTGCGCCCCTAATACCAAATAAGGGGTGTACCGTTGCATCTTTTCAGGAATTACCACACGGATGGAACACAGTCGGTACAAATTGATAAACACGTAAGTGATGAGTTCCCATCTGATATGGTGTTCCTTAAAGAAGCATTCTTGGCCCTACCTTATTTTTTCTTTATTTTAATGACCTCTGCAGACTCCAAATGGTGAACGGAAAAATAGTTACGTTTGCAGATTACACAGAACTGTTGTATAATGGTAATTCATGGTCAGATGTTTTTTTAAAGGATAGGGTGACAAACGAGCACACAGTCCACCTGATGGATTATTTTTATATAGTTATTAGTTATTTATCCATATATATATATATATATATATATATATATATATATATATATATATATATATATATATATATATATATATATATATATATATATATATCGACTTTTCTCTGTAAAACTGTCATAAGACGCTGAAAGCTAGTTTTGAGAAAAAAACGATTTAAATTATTTTTCGATAAATTAATGCTATTGTGACTTTTAGGTTACAAATTTTTACCTGTCTACTGTTTTAACTAACAAAGAATTTATCAAGCTATTTGCAAAATATAAGAGTATATTAAAAAATTAAATGGAATTTGTTTAAAAAGTAAATAAATTAAAAATTACTCAACTTATGACACTTTTTTACATTATTATGGTAGCAAAATAAAAAAATATCGTAACACAAAAATATTTTTATTTATGGTTCTTCTTAATATTAAATCTAATCTTTGGAGCAACTTTAGGAACTTTCACAATTACCATAATCAGTCTAAAGGCAAAGTTAAAAAACACACTAAAAATTGTTAATACTTAAAACTTAAAGATTACAAATTTGTGTAAAATTCGCTGTAGAAATTAGGTATGTGATTACTCTGTACCAGACTTAAGAGGTCTCTTTTTTTATTTTCTTTAATTTTCGGTTTCGTCCTATAAGCTTTTTTTAGTGATATTATTTGAACGGGCAATTGCTTTCTTGTGGTTTCTGCTTCTTTAAAATCAATTTCTTTAAAAGAATATTTATAGTAGGTACACTTTCTTAAATTCGCCCTGAATCACTTTTAAAACCTTTATTTCAGAGGTTTTAAAATTTTTAGAATTGAAACCAATGGTTTCCGATAGGCTTTTCATAGAATAAAATTCTCTGAAGCTCATCTCGTTTACTCTATACGGGTTGCCCTTCTTTTTGACGTTCCTTATAATTTGAGCATATTGGCTCGGAACATAGCTGGGACCGGAGCGGAGGTTCTTTTTGATAGCTTTTTCTATCACGGAATGTACGCTATCTCCTTCATTTTGTGTATGGCCAGTAATAAGGTATTTATGTGTTATAGATTTAATTTTAGAATGTTTCATCAACGCGTATATATACATGGAAAAAAAGAAATTTGTTTTTCTGCTGGCCGCAGCAATTGTCGGAGTAAAATACAAACTCAATACCCGAACCAGCATAATTTTCCATTACTTTGTCAATAAAGTTCAGGACACAAGACCCAATCTCATATGCCCCTCGATTGACCTCCCCTTCGTGCCAGAGGTAGCATTCGGTGTGATCAGGGGAACCAATTTCACTTATAGTGAAATTGAAGTTATTTAATTTCGATTTATAACAGAATACTGATACATCTCCTCTTGGAATTTGAAGAATAGCCTGAAGGTCATAGACAGCTACGATGTAATCATTGCACGCTTTATTTTTATCACTCTCTTTTTCTATACTAGATAAATCCTTTTCTTCCTGATGTAACATGTTCTTTTCCTGTAGTTCCTCTTTTGCAGATCCAGTTGCATTTTCGTAGCTTACACACAACTCACAACGGTCCTTTTTTAGGAGTAAAAAACTTATATTAAACTCATAATTAAAAATTTTGCATACATTTCGTAGTGTGCAGCATTAACTCCTTGCTCCAAACATTGTGCTTTATAGTCTGCATGTAAGTCTGCTAAACATTTACCACCGTCGATATATTCTCGGTTAGAATCTTTCCTGATATAATGGCTTTCAATCCGTGGAATCGAATTTATGTGATCTCTGACTGCTTGCTTAATCGATTCATCGACTTTTTTATGATTGCCATGTTTACCTCTCTTTTCTATGTTAATAAAACCTAGATCTCTTTTCTGAAAAACTGTTCTTATAACGCGATCATTTACGTCTAACGTATTCATAAAAAAACTTCTTACAAACCCGTATCTTTTCATTGTCAACGTCAAAATAGTAAGCATTATTATAACCTCGAGGTTTTTCTTTTCCCGAAAAACGGAATGCGGGCACTATAGCTTTGGTAGAGGAGTTAATAAAGTTTCTTTGAAGGGTAATATCTCCTAATCCCCAATATTTAGCAAGAATCTTCCTCCTGCAGTCCTCGTCAATTTTAGTAGAACATTCCATTTTGCATTTATCGCCACAAGGTGGTTTCAAAGAACGTGCAGGTATAATTTTCTTGGTTTTAGATCTGGAAATGTAACATTTGCCAGTATTTCGTAATTTTTTCGCTTTATTACTAAGCCACTCTTCAACTCTTGCAACGCGCTTTCTACTTTTCTTAACATTACTATTTTCTTCTATTTCGTTCATGGAAATATTCTGTTCGACTGTTTCATCTTGGTTTATTGATTCATTCTCATTTTGTACTGCTTCTTGTATTTCTTCGTTATTTGTTTCAGCAGAAGTCTGGATCGAAACTAGTTCCACTTGACCGTTTGTTGGTAATACTTGTACATTATTCGTTATCGCAGTTGACGTAGAAGTGCTCGAAGAACTGCTAGAAGAACTAGATGACCTACTGGAGGAACTAGACTTGTAGTGAGGATCTTTTACTGAATCATCGTCATCTTCCGAATACGATTCATAAGCAGCGGGTGGTGGCTCGGTATATGAAGATTTATTTTCAGGCGGATTGTAACTGCAATGGGCAATAGACTCAGCTTCTTTCCAAGCTTCAAAAGTTGTAACATTATCTGAATTTTCTGAAATAAAACAAATTCATAAACTAAGCAATAATAATAACTTTCAAATTAAAGTTAACATTAAAAGTTTATATAAATAACTTACTGAAACATTCTTTTCTCCTCGGAATCTTCTGTAAAAAGAATAAAAAAATAAACTCACCATAAACGTACTTATTAGAACAATTATTACCACCTACATAACATATTAATTATTAAGTCGTGCAGCTAGTTAAATTTACCTTTGTTCAGTTGCGGTCACAATTTTCTTTATTTTCATCACTTTCAGAATTTAAAAGTTGTAACTTTTTGCCCCTGCTATCCTTAAATCTGTCACACATTTTTATTCTGAAATAAATAAATACAAGTTTTAATATGAACAGAACATCAACATTTCCGTAAGTATTGATGTTAATGTAGGTAAATTATACAATAAAGTTATGTAGCACTACAGTAAAGAGTAATACTAAAATAAGTTCAAAACGGCCATAACATATTGATGTGACAAAATTGTAGTACCCGTTAGTTCAAAGTAGAATAAAAACATGTAAAAAACAGTCATAACCTATTCAAGGCTACTTTTATAAACATTCGGTAACTAAATTTTGCAAAAACAATTATAAAAAAAGGTGCCACAAAACAAAATACAACTATTTTTTACCCAGTTAAAACGTAAAAATATAATACAATGTTGAGTGAAATAGTATCATAACCTATGTTATGACACTTTTTTAGAGTGAAAAATGACATGTTTTCAAATTACGATCGAAAAAAACAGTACTATATTGTGATACTGCAGTTTTCACTCTTAAATTTACAAGTATTATAAAAAAACTTACCCAAAATATGGTCACAAGATAACTTATGGCGATTTTCAAGAGCACTGGCACACGTTCACACGACACAAGCTCCGATACGTCACTATTGTTGAGGCGAGAGCGCGCAATATCGCTCCGTAAAAAACCGTCACTTACGCCACCTAGTTAGTTTTTTTTTGTACTACAATTGTGGCGGTTTCATTGATCGATAGAGAATGAAAAACTTAATAAAACTGTATTTAAATCTGTGTTTCTACTTTTTCTTATGTTACGACAGTTTTTTAGAGGAAAGTCGATATATATATATATATATATATATACCGGGCTTTATATTTCGCCAAATTCAAGTGATAGGACACGTGACTAAAAAGCCAAGATTTCGAATGGTTGATAATTTTTTTTTATGAATAATGTTATATCATTCTATCTTATATATTTGTATAATTAATTACTAGTTATTTTTATTAGTATAATGTACGTTTTCAATATACTTAACAAAAGATTAATTTTCAAACCTAATTCTAGAATCAATAATAGTCAAATTAAAATATAATTTAGAGGAAGATGTAGGTGTTATTAAAATATATAAAATTTTTAAAAAATCAAAATTTGAACTGAGTTCTTGACAACAAATATCGGATAATAATCTTAAATGCAACAAGTAAAGTTATAGCATTTAAGAGTACAGTAACTGTCCTATAAAGGAAAAGAAAACCCACTTGGGTGAGATCTGTCAACCTAAGAGCCGTCTGGTGGCATTGCAGCACAATATTAATATTGTGAGAGTGTGTGCGTGCGTGTAGCACATGCATCTCACAAATACACCACTGTTCATTGCGATTAATTACGCTTTCTGATTGTGATTAATTATTTATCAACAAGATTTTGTGATTCAAACATTTGAAATATTTTTTCAAGATATTTTATGGTAAACAAAAGCTTCAAAACAACAATAATGAAATGTATGAAATTAAAAAGATTAATAGTCTATTATTCTATATTTTTGAAAGATCATTATGGAAGACAGATAAAGATTTGAACACATCGTTTTAACTATAATATAATGTAGGTACCAGAATGGATTGACTGACGTCACGTTATGTCTAACTAATCAGTATTGCCTTCACAGTAAAAATAAATACTTCTGAAATGAACTAGAAATATATTTCGAGACGTATAAGCGACTTAATGGTTGAGTGATCGTCTTTCAACTTATTGTTAATATTAATGAAACTGAGTTCTAATGAACCGCTAGAACAAACCACCAGACACTGTAAGCATTAATTTCTTCATTAAAAGGTCGAAGCTAACAGTTTTAGTAGAAAATCCACTAAGTTGGCAACACTGAAGAAAATGCTATCTTTCTTTACTACTAAAATCTAGTTAGTCGGTGTAACATTATTTTGTGTCTTGATAGAACATCGCAAAGTCTATATGTAGAGAGAGCCAGTTTCCATACATTTTAGACTTCTATATTGTATTATATATATTCTGATATTCTAGAAATTCTACTACAAATGGTTAGAATATAAAAAATTACAATGTAATGTCCAAACTCCATGGTTTTTTATCGTTTTCCCATATTTAAGCAACCAAAACCAAAAAAATATCCAAAAAATACAACCAGAACTCTATTATATTACATATTTTTTGCCGTTCCATATTCGTTGCATTATTATGAGAAATTAATACAAACTATGGGGATTTTCAGCTACAGACTTTCCATAGGCTAGTTAGGATTTTGAACTTTTATTTCCCTTTGTTGTGGAGATGTTTCACATACATAATTGGCATATTAACGAACATTTAAATCCGTCACAATTATTCTTAGGCCATATATTAATTTTTTTACAGGTGTGATTTGAACCTGCGGCTCACTGCCAGACACTTGGTAACTGAGCTACAGAGCCGTCAAGTGTTTTTGTAAAATAACACATCCATGTAAAATATTAAAATTTTTACAAACGTATTGTTGCGCGAATAAGTCGACGTCATGTATACGGCACTAGCCCCATCTAGTGTCAGGGACGAAAGCGAGGGGAGCTTTCCAGAAAATGACATCATTAATCTTTCAACCGACAGCGAGTCTCGAAACGAAGAAATAAGCTTCTAGAAGTCGACAATCGAACTCTCGGCCAATTGCGCGTGTTTACTTGAATATTCTGGATGTTTCGGTGCTAATTTGTATTTATAGGCGCTGCAAGATGCGATAAGGGAAGTATTGAATTTGGCGAGACAAGCGAAGCTTCGGAGCGGAATAAAGTGAATCAGTGTGTTTAATTATTAATGTTTAAGTTTAATTAGTGTAAAGTGAATTAAAGAGTTAATTTTGGTAATTGTATCGGCAATTTTTATTGTCACGAACCTCAAGCTCGTAACAATTGGTGTCATCGTGGCTGATATAATGGACGACTGCATCCTAGGCCTAGTCTTTATGAAGAATAATTGTTGTGAGATCGACGTTAAGCAAGGTGTTTTGAAATGTGGACAGGAGGAACTTTTTATGGAAGGTGCGTTACCAGGGAACGTGTACAGCATTAAGAAGATTATTCTTCCGCCGAGATCGGAAACGATTGTTCCGGTTAGTCTTCCTCGAAACACTGGGCAAACTCACCTTTGTGTACTTCTGGAAAGGGTAAACAATGACCTTCCATGGAAAGTAGCTCGAACCTTGGTCAGGAATACTGACATCTCAGGAGTACGTGTGCTGAACCTTTGTGACCAGGAACAGATTATAGAAAAAGGCACCCTGGTTGGTACTTGTGAGGAAGTGGATTGGTTACGTCGGTGCCAATATATATAGCGTGGGACCCCAGGAAGGATTCAGAAACGAGAGTGACCACAATTTAGGAAGACTGTCGCAGTGTTCTCTCCCCGAACGAATTGGTCAAGGCGAAGAAGTTGTTACTCAAGTATTGTATAGATGTATTCTCATCAAACGATTCTGACATAGGAAAGACTGGCTTAGTTCAACACAAAATAAACACAGGAGAAGAATTGCCTACCCGTCAGCGGCCAAGAAGATTGCCGGTTGCACGTGAAAAGGAAGTGGAAACCATGATTGAGGGAATGGTGAAGGATGGTGTTATTGAACCTTCTTCTAGTCCATGGTGTTCACCCGTGGTGCTGGTAAAGAGGAAGGATGGCAGCATGCGGTTCTGTGTTGATTACCGCCGTCTGAACGAAGTTACAAAGAAGGACATCTATCCCTTGCCAAGAATTGATGACACGCTGGACATGCTTACAGGAGTAAAATGTTTTAGCACGCTGGATCTAAAAAGTGGCTACTGGCAAGTTGAAATTGACCCTAAGGACAAGGAGAAAGCTGCGTTCTCGACGGGAAAGGGTCTGTGGCAATTTAAAGTAATGCCGTTTGGGTTGTGCAATGCTCCAGCAACGTTTGAAAGACTGATGGAGCTTGTACTTACCGGGCTAATTGGCGATGCCTGTCTGGTCTACTTAGATGAAATCATCATCGTGGGCCGTACGTTTGAGGAACACCTTCAAAACCTGGAACGCGTGCTCATGAAGATTTAGAGTGCCAACCTCAAGTTGAGTCCGAAGAAATGTTCACTATTCAAACGGCAATTCAACTTTTTGTGGTATGTAGTGTCGGAAGAAGGTATCGGCACGGATCCGGAGAAAATCGCCGCTGTCAAGGATTGACCGGTTCCAAAAGACAAGACGCAGGTTAGAGCATTTTTGGGTTTGTGCTCCTATTATCGGCGATTTGTTAAGAATTTTGCAGATAGCCAAACCTCTGCACAAGCTAACGGAGGAGAAGCGACATTTCTGCTGGGATGAAAGTTGCAATATGGTATTCCAGGAGCTCAAGGACCGTCTGTGCAAAACACCTATTTTGGGATACCCTGATACAAGCAAATAATTTATAGTTGACACGGAGGCAAGTGATATAGGACTTGGCGGTGTGTTGTCTCAATGGAATGTTGACCAAGAGGTCGTGATAGCGTACTTCAGTAAGACGTTGTCAAAACCGGAAAGGAACTATTGTGTCACAAGACGCGAATTGCTAGATGTGGTAAAGTCGTTGCAGCATTTTAGCAAATATATTCTGGGGCGGAAATTTCACTTACGAACTGACCATGCTGCACTAAAATGGCTATTGCAGTTTAAAAATCCAGAAGGATAAGTTGCGAGGTGGATTGAACTACTGCAGGAATACGACTTTGAGATCGAACATCGATGACATGAAACGATCAAACGCAGATGCATTGTCAAGATGACCTTGTCCTGAAGATTTCAAACATTGTACTAGGCAAGAGAGTAAGGAAGTGGTATCCGTGAGGATGCTCTGGACAGACCACCTCAGCAACGAGTGGAAGGACAGCTTACGACATGCACAGCAGGAAGATCCGGACATCAAGCCAATTCTGCAATGGATGAAGGCCAGTGCTCCCAAGCCCAAGTGGAGCGACTAAAAGCTATTGGGCCCAGTGGGAAATCTTGCTGCTTCAGTATGGAGTTCTGTGCCGTAAATGGGTAAATGGTCGAGGAGACAGCTGTCATTTGCAAATGGTCGTCCCTAAAGCTAGAATACCGGATGTTCTACAGCTGTACCATAATGATTGTTCAGGAGGCCATATGGGAGTTAAACGGACTCTACTGAAGATCCGAGAAAGGTTTTAATGGGTCCTCTGTCAAAACGATGTCGAGGACTGGTGTCGCAAATGTACAAGTTGTGCGGCTGTAAAGGGACCTCAGACTCGTAGTAGAGATGCATTGAAGTTGTACAATGTTGGTGCACCATGGGAGAGAATAGCCATTGACGTGGCGGGGCCGTTTCCGGAGAGTGAAAGCGGTAACAAGCATTTCATGGTTGTGATGGATTACTTCACTAAGTGGCCAGAAGTCTTCACCATTCCAAATCAAGAAGCTTCATCAGTTGCGGATAAGCTAGTTCATGAATTCTTCTATCGTTTTGGAGTACCTTTAGAGATTCACAGCGATCAAGGAAGGAATTTTGAGTCTTAAATACTCCAGGAAACTTGCCAAGTTATGGGTACTCATAAAACAAGAACGACTTCTTATCACCCGCAATGTGATGGAATGGTAGAACGATTTAATCAGACATTGGAGAGGTACCTAGCAAAATTTGTAGACAATCGGCAACGAGATTGGGACAAGCACATACAACCGTTTTTTTTGTCATATCGAAGCGCTGTTCACGAAAGTACAGCATTGACACCAGCTTTCGCAAACTTTGGAAGAGAATTACGGCTGCCTGCAGACCTTATCACCGGGATACCACCTGATGCCCCACGCAGTATAACCGATTATGCAAATGACTTGCGGAACAAAATGAATGACATTTTTGAGCACGTCAGACAATCGGGCCAGCAAATGTCTGAGAAGATGAGAACCCGGTACGACCGCAAAATGAACAATAAAGGCTTCGACAGAGGTTCACTAGTGTGGTTGCACAATCCAGTCCGCAGCAAAGGGAAATCTCCTAATCTTCGAGCTAAATGGGCCCGTACCGGATGGTAACCAGGATCAGCAATGTAACCTACCGGATACAGAAAGGAGCAAGAGGGACTCCTAAAATCGTCCATGTGGATCGCTTGGCACGTTATTATGGGGCCGATAATGCTCGGGACGAGCATGGCTTAGGAGTAGGCAGTGTTGCGCGAATAAGTCAACGTCTTGTATCCGGCATTACCGTTATCTAGTGTCAGGGAAGAGAGCGAGGGGAGCTTTCCAGAAAATTACATCACTAATCTTTCAACCGACAGCGCCATCTAGTCTCGGAACGAAGAACTAAGCTTCTAGAAGTCGACACTCGAACTCTCGG